TTTAGCTTTTCCTTACCATCTGCTTCCATAAAATATCTCAGGCTTTTCTTGTATTTTCTTTGCCCAGCTCTGGATGTAGCCATTTCTCCAAGAAGCCCTAGTTTCTTTGACTGTAGCGTGGAGCTCACAAGCTAAGATCAGAGTGACAGATATTAGATGTGCTTATTGCTACTTGGCATTGGTGTTCCCAGGCGAGAGCTAAGAAATACCCACATTTATATTTGTATTTACTGAAGCCACGAATTCATACTGATAGTTCTAATTAATTCAATACCACAGGGTTCTTCTCAGTCCCTGAGAAATCCGGTCCCATTATAATCAATATATATTTAAATGTACTGGATTTTTTGGGTGTTTAGTCATCACCTGGCCTTGTCTGGCTGTCTTGCTCCCCTAACTCCATCTTCTTTACATGGACTGCCACTGTCAGCTGCAACAGGCTATCTGTTGTCACGTGGTTCAAACACCATCTTCAAAAGGCCTCCTTTATTGAGTTCCTTAGACGTCCTTTCTACTCAGACCTGTTACCGTCCTCCTTTGAATCAGTATTTCTGTCCTGGTGACTTTTGGACTGAAGAAGGAGAGAAGGAAGAAAAAGAAAAATGGAAACCTAAGAAATCATGAATTAAAATAAATAATGCATATTTTGACTATAATTAAGGAAGGGTACAAATCCATGATTTTCTATTTATTCTTCATTATTTTAAGTTTCATATTAAAAATCTACTTTAACAGAAAATTATCATAATTTATTTTTCAGAAGAGAAATAAACAGGCTTACATTACTATAAAAATAATTCAGTGTTTGTGTGTAACCTCAGTTTGTTCTATGAAGCCAAACAAACCAGTCCTAATATAGCAGATAAATGCAGTCTTCCACTATGAATGTCTCAAAAACAAGTATAGAATGAGTTCTGGCTTAAATTGCCTCAGTTGCTTGTTATATGGCTGCATATAAATTATATGACTTACTTAAACTCTATCTTCCTTACTTTCCCAATCTGTAAATTACAAATCACAGCAGTACTTTCCTTACAAAATGACTTTGAATATTGAGTTGATGAATATAGAGTTCTTAGACTAATGTCTGATCTTTAGCAAACACTGTTATAGTAGTTATTGTTATTTTATGATCATTATTTGATTTAAATATCCCATTATTAACAAATATTTGTCATTTGAGCTTTTAGCACCTCTTATTTCAGACTTCTTTAAAAGTTGCCCTGAAAACTGCTATAGCCTGAATATTTATGTCCCCTCAAGTTCATATATTAAAACTTGGTATTTGGAGGTGGGGCCCTTCCACAACCTGGAAAGGCATTCAACAGACCTGACTATACTGGCATCTTGACCTCAGACTTTTTCAGCTACTAGAACTGTGGAGAGATAAACTCCTGTTATTTATAATCCCTCTAGCATATGGTGCTAAGTTACAGTTGTGAAAGTGACCAAGATACGAACTTTCTCTAAACTTTATTTTTATTAAATTTTTTTTGGTACTAGGGTTTGAACTCAGGACTTTGTGCTTGCCAGCCAGGCAGTGGAACCACCGAGCTAAATCCCTGGTCCTAAACTTTATTTTTCAATAATTTTCCTTTATAATATTTCAGTATTATTTCAACATTCAAACAATATTTGCTTCTTTATGTAAACTATTGGTGAACTTTTTCTTCTCCTCTCCATAGGCTTTCTCGTGGCAATTGGTTATTTAGCCTAGCTATCCATTAATACCCTTGTAACTCTGATCTGTTTTTGCTCTTTTTCTCCTGCTGTTTTATAAATGTCTTACCCAAGTTTCTGGGGTAGTGGTGGTGAGGGTGGTTTGCATGGTCTAGAAATCAGGACATCAAATAGTTCTTTTGTTGATGAGAATAAATTCCCAAGACCAATGCAGTGAGATTTGGATTTGGGTGTATACATTTGTACAAGTTGCTCAACTGCTCTGAGTCTCAGGTTTCTTCTACTGTAAAGGGAGCCAGGTAGTGGCACCTTGTAGAATGACTGTGTAATTTAAATGAAACAATACGACAAAGTAATTAACACAGCACTTAATAATATTAGATATAATTATTACTTCAAATTGGAGCAGTTGATTCTGGTTTTCTTTTGTTTGTTTGTTTTTCTTGGTATTGGGGATTGAACTCGGGTCTTTGTGTTTGCAAGGCAGGCCACCAAACCGCTGAGCTAAATCCCCTGATTCTGGTTTTCTACATTTTGACTTTCTTTTCTTCCTTTAGATGACTTTCTTCCATATACTAAACATTTTTCTTAATGCTGAGAAAAATTAACATATCAAATGTAGCAGTTGTCTGTTAGTAGTACTTGTGAAGGTAGCTAAATTTTGAGACTGTAGACTCCAATATAGACAATGCTTGAAAGTCAGTATAATTGAGTGTGTGTGTATATGTGTGAGTGCATGTGTGTATATGCTTGGGATTGAACCTAGGGCCTCACACACACCAGACAAGCCCTCCACCACTGAGCTTCTAGCCCTTTTGGAAGTTTTTTGAGACAGGGTCTTGCTCAGTTGCCTAGGCTGTTCTCAAACTTATGATCCTCTTGCCTCAATCTCCTAAATAGCTTAGATTATAGGTGTGGACCGCCATACCTCAAATTATGCTATTTTTACAAAAATAGAATCTGTAGCCAGACTGCCTGGGTTTAAATTCTAGTTCTCCCAGCTCATTAGTTTTGTGCCATTGGACAATTAACATTACTGTGCATCAGTTTCGTCATCTGTGAAGCAGAGATCATAAGGTACTTATTTCATAAAGCTGTTGTGAGAGTTCAGTAAGTTAATATATGTGAAAGTGAATAGACTTGTAACTGGCTCTTAGTAAGCACTGGATGATGGTCAGCTATTCAGCTACTGATCAGCAGTGGCCTTCCCATGAGCACAGGGTGTTTCTTGTCCCCACAACAAAATTGTTCTTCATTCCTACGGTTTAGATGCTTTTCTCCTTTATACACAGGAAGTTCAATGTTTGGTGTGTGTATGTGTGTAATTTTGTTTTTTAATGGATCCATTCTACTGAAACAATATGTTGATTGTTCACAGGGTGGAAGAGACCTTTTTCCTTTAGCCTCGGTCCATGTGAACAAGCTAGACGATGTGGAACCAAAGCACGTCACCAGTGTGATTCATTGGATGATGTCTGGATGGTGAGGAAGCAGTGATGGATGCCTCTTCTTTCCTTCACGTGAACCAGAGGCTTAAAGAGCTGTGGAAAACCAGGTCCACTGAATGCTCTGGCTCAGTCCACTTGATTGTGGCTTAAAATCCCACTTAGTCTCTCTTAAATCACTGGCACCCTTTACTTCCTGCTGATTAGAGCACCTGAGGTAAGAGTTCTGCATTTTAGATTCAAAGTCACTGGCAAAAGAGATATCTTTCTGAATGGATGTCCTGCTCTTTTAGTAGAAAACTTAGTTTTTGGATATATTTTGACTGTATATTTGTTTTAAATAAACTAGGCCAGTACAGATTAGGTTTTCAATACAACTGTTCTCTAAAACATAGATTTTTTTTTTATAGGCAGCATGTGTAATACAATTTTTTTATCTTATTGAGTTTATTGGTACTTTTGAAGAATACAGCACAGTTATATTCATCGTTGGGTATAATAAAAATTAATTCATTTAATGAATATATATTATTAATCTGGTAAATACTGGCCAATTGTGTAGATGAAGAGTAAGTTTATATTTATGTACACATTATCCCTTCTCCCCAGATAAAAAGATATTTCTACTCTTACAACTTGCATCTGGTGGGGAGACAGTATTGCTCTAAAGATCATGTAAACATAAGAATAATTATGACTGAGGTATTGAGATAGTATATTAGGAGAGGAAATCTGTCTACACAGAGAGGCCAAGAAAGACTTTCCAGGAGGCAGCAGCACTTGAGCTGAGAGCTGAAGGATGAGAAGAGATAACAGTAAAAAGCAGTGTAGAAAGAAGGAAAAAGAATATTTCAGATAAGCATAATATGTGCAATGGTCCTGTGGCAGGAGAAAACATGGATTATTTGAAGAAAGAAGGTCAGTGTTGTCTGGATTTGAAAGGAAAGAGTGTAGAGAATAAAAATGAGACTGCTAAACTAGGTTATAGTAAAAAAAATTAGGGTCTTGTGGACCATGTTAAGCACTGTGTTTTCCTAAGTTCACTGGAAAATATACTTGTAAAATATTCAAGAGACTCAGGCCACAGTTTCTGATGTATTAAAAGAAGGAGGAGACAGAAGAGGTGGAGGAGGAAGGAGGTGAAGGTGGAGAAGCCAGGTGTGATGGCTCATGCCTGTAACCTCAGTCAGTACTCTGAGAGGCTGACACAGAAGGATCCCAAGTTTGAGCCCAGCCTGGGCAACTCAGTAATTTAGTGAGACCCTGTTATTTTTTTTTTAAAAAGGCTGGGGATATAGCTCAGTGCAAAGGCTGTGGGCTCAATCCTCAGTACTAGAAAGGAGGGAAAAAGAGAGGCAAGGAGAAAAGAATAAGAAATGCAGCCCATTAGCACAGGCATGGAATTCACAAGATAAATATAGAATTTACAAAGAATCAGTTCTCAAGTGTACTCGAGGTGATGTGGACTCTACCCATACCACTAATTGGTCATGGGACCTTGAAGTTGTATGAGGACCATTATGCCTCAGTCCTATCTCTGTATCTCCGGGAATGTGCATCCTCATTTGGAGGTGAGATCAAACTACATTTGTGGTCTTCCACGACTGTGAGGTTCAGGCTTCATGGCCCTCTTTGTGCCTCTGTGACAGGGTCTAGATACAAAACCACTGAAATGTTTCAAGCAAGGAAATGTGTCAGACATGAACACTGAACAACATTGCTTTCTATGTAAAGTGATTTTACAAGGCCGGTAGAATTTGAATAGATCAGTCAGGCAATTATTGCACAAGTCTCAACAGATGCTGGTAGAAGCGCATACCAGACAATGACAGTGGAGTTGGAAAGGAACAAATGGATCATTTTAATCTTTTCTTTAGAACAAAATATGAAGAACAGCCATGATTTTGGACTTCACAGAGTTATGTGCCCATATTGGCACTAGACTTAGGTAAGTGGCCTAAAGTTAAGCAAAGATTGCTAAATTATACCAATGTGGTGATTTTTTCATATAACAGTGCCTTTTTATATTCACATATCTGGATATATATTAAGCATTTCTTTGCCAAATAGCTATTCACATGTATAGTCACTTGCATATGCAAATTGTGCAGTTTGCATGCTTTAATACTTATATTTTGACCTTGTTTTTCATGCAGTATTTGAACAGAATTCGCCAACAAACATTTGTTAAACACCTACTGTTGCCAGGTAATGATTTTAATTTATGATCTTAAAATGTGTAAACTCTCCCCCTCTGGATTTTATAACATACATGACAGTTCTGAAAAATTCCAGTTATTCCAACTTAGTTTTAAATAAATTGGAGGTTAAAAGTAAAAAGAATAAGCAACTACTTCTTTAGTTCATGAATACTGTGTAGCAATTGCCCTAAGTGTTTTAAGAATTTTGAGCACCTTTCCATTCTGTTTTTCCCACTGTGTGCCCATAATTGATTATCCATGTATGATCCTATGAGCATTGCAGCATGAAAAGCAGAAAACAATGGACAAAGATAGCAAAATTTCACATTCTACCCTTTTCTTTCAAACTATCTTAAGTTAATAAAACTTTACGAAAAAGCCTTTGAAATTTCATCATGGGTTTTCTGCAAGAGGTGAAAGTTGACCTAGAAGTGCTTGACCTATAACTTGGCAGCTACTGAAAGTCTAGCCTCATAATTCAGCAGTCCAGTGACAGCTTTGCCTATGAACTCGAGTCTTCATTTCACTGACATTTTTAGGTTTAGTCTCCTTGAAAATGCTAACAAAAGTGCAGCATATCATTTCTCTGCCTATCATAGCAATGGTGATGTTTGTGGAACCGTTTGCTGTCTAAGCGGTAATCTCCCGGATAATTTGGATTAACCTTACTGGGTCTCTAGACACCAAATTACCCAGGGCAGATGATCTTCAGAATAACCTTTCCAGATCTTGAAGTTTTAACCCTAGCCCCATGTTTTATGAAAAAACTTTCAACAGATTCAACTAATCTGGCTTACATCAACTTAGTTTGGCCTAAAGTGGCCTTCAACTGGTCAAGAAAACATAAAATCTTCTGTAAAAAAATGTAATTAGAAAGTGAGGCCTCCTGAAATCTATTTACTTTTTTTTTTTTTTTTTTTTTTTTTACAAGACAGTTGCATTTTTTTTTTTTAAGACAGTTGCTATATATCAAAGGGCCTCAGTTCTCTTATTTGGTCTGATTTTGAAATTGATGGCCTAGAAAGGAGGGTGGGATGGGGAAGAAGTGCTTTTGTTAGTAGTTGAAAGAATTTGTTTAAAAGAGTGGAGAATTTTCCCTGAGGAAGAATTTGTCATTTGGACTGGAAGTGGCAAAAATTGTTCATTTATATTGATCAAAAATCTTTTGAGGCTTGGGCCTCAGTTCTCTTATTTGGTCTGATTTTGAAATTGATGGCCTAGAAAGGAGGGTGGGATGGGGAAGAAGTGCTTTTGTTAGTAGTTGAAAGAATTTGTTTAAAAGAGTGGAGAATTTTCCCTGAGGAAGAATTTGTCATTTGGACTGGAAGTGGCAAAAATTGTTCATTTATATTGATCAAAAATCTTTTGAGGCTTTTCCTCCTTCTTTTTTTTTTTTAAAGAAAGGATAACTTCGCTTTCCAAAGTTGAGAATCAACTGTGAAATTTTGTCCTATTCAAACTTCCACATTCTAAAAATGTTTGCTCTTTTTGAAGCTAATTTAATGCTAAGAAATAAGTATTTCTTAATATTATAAGGGCAGAGTTTATAGATCTAGGATGAGCTTATGAATTTCATTGCCACAAAACCAATAAATAGAAAAATAAAATGAATTAGCAGATGTAACTGTTACAGTGTGAGATGGTGATTCCAGGTGATTGACAGCAGATTTCCTGGGAAATCCTCATCAGTTTAAATTGGTGGGCAGAGTAGGAGTGGGTGAAGTTGCAGTACTTCCTGGTCTTAGTGGGAAGAGGGGAAACAAAAGTTAGGTTGCATTCTTTATATTGAGACCTGGTATGTACTTCTCAATGTGGGGTGTCTGAACCTGTACTTGTAAAAATGGACTGTCTTGGCTCAGTGGTTCCGCCTGCACTGCAAGTGAAAGTGCAAGGGCCTGAGTTCGCTCTTCGGTACAAAAAAAAAAAAAAAAAAAAAAAGGAAAAGCGGAATACTTCTAAACCTTTACTCAGTGCATACTACTTTGACTCAGAATGACAGTCTGCAAGTAGGTGTATGCAATACCTAACATGAGAAAACACTGGCTGCAATTGAAGTCCTGTGAAGTTAGTGATGTTAGTAACTTGGAAGCTTTTTTTTTTTAAACCTGTGGGGTGCAGGAAAGCACAGTGCTGAGTTGTGTGTCTTGGAAATAGGTCTTGCTGCCTAGGCACTCTATATTGTAGCGTGAGCTGGTCACAGTAAAAGATCCAACACTGCACCTCTGATGGGAGGGTAAAGCACCTTTCACAATTTAATATTCTCTTCCTGAAAGTTTTTTTTGTGTTAGGTATTTTCTTTTTTTGCTGCTAGATACTTCCTTTTTGCATACACACACACACACACACACATACATGTATATTCATTGATTCTCACATACCATAATCTCCATCTTACAGGGAAGAAAACAGATTTAGGTGACCAGGTTCACCTAACTGTGTGGAAATCCCATATAGAGGAGTTAATATTGAAATCTGACCTGTCTCTGAAGTTGGCACCTTTCTAGTGTGTGTCTTGCCCACAAAGTTGTTAGTTCCTATCATATCTTTTGGAAAATCAAATCTAAGAGATTAATGGGAAAGCCTGCACAGTGGTGGTGAGCATGTGGCACACATGTTACTGTGTTCTGCTAAGACAAAAGATGTTAATGTATGAGTTGCTTTTTTCTAAACTAAACTTCAATATTCAGGTTTAATTGTAGCATAGGGACTCTGCCATAGGTAAGTGAATTTCAGGTTGTAGTTTGGCCCTTAGTCTCTAAAAGTTTCATCATTGCTGGACTAGGATATATATGGGACTAGGAAAAATGTATTGTGAGTACAGTGGCACTTTCATTCAAGAGTTACATATTTGGGTTCAATATGTTAGATTTTGGATCAGGCAGGTAGTAAATGAGCCACTGAATAGCCAGAGTCATTTCCACTGAGTTTAGGTACACAATCCATTAGAAAGATTAAAGTCTGGTTGGAATATTCTTGTCTCAGACCAAGGGAAGAATGGAATAAAATTTTGTATTCCAAATGATAGAAGAATTTTTTGGAATTCATTATTACTGGAATGTGATAATTAAAAACAATAAGAATAATATTTATCACTTAATGGACTCATTTTTAAGTATGAAGCATTTTTCATGCATTGCTTTTGGCATCACAATACCTCTATAATTTAGATATTCTTATTTCTGTTGCATACCTAAAGAAAAAAGAAAAACAAAGTACCATGGGAATTAAATGAGCTTTTCCAGGCTCACAGAAAAGTCCTTCTTGATCTTGGGTCTTCATTGTTTTTACTGTATTTTGTTTTCTTGGAGGAAAATGTTGAACATCTTTCCACATCTGTCAAATGTTAGTATATGATCTGAGGATAAAATCCTTAGAACTGTAGTAAGAGATCATTTTGCACATGAGACTACAGGTGATAGTAAGGGTACACCACAGTTGAGGAAGCTAAGAACAGGTTATAGAGAGTAGAAACCCATAACCTTTCCTAATGTTACTGTGCCCCCTTGGGACAGCATGGTCTGGACTCTGGAGCACTGGCCTGAGAGACCAGACTGCCTTTGGAGAGACAAGCAGTGCGCCTTTCCTGTACCTCAAGTTAGAGGTGGGGATTTTGTCCTCAGTTACCAGTGTGGTAACGGGCACATAGTAGGAATGAGAATGATACATAATATTAATAAAGATCCTAGGAATCTTATTTTTAATTTTTTTCACCTAAATTCTAAAATTCTGTAATTCAAGCAAAGTTACTTTGGTTTCTTTATCCTTTCAATATCCTTTGAGTGAGGAAAATTCTGTGGGTCTCTTGTGTAAGGTATCATGAGAATTAAGTAACAGGATATTTTGCAAAATACAACAGAAAAAGATAACAAGACCATATTTTTCCTTTCAAATAGTTGTGATGTTTAAATTAATAATTTGTATTGATCAAAGCTCACCAATGTGCCAGGTACTACAGAAGAGACAAAAACTGTCCATGAGGTTCGTAGTCTGAGCACAATTTCATGGCACTAGTATTAGTGAGTTTAAAAGTGATTTCACACCAATATTTGAGAGATCCTGGTCATATATTACATATGGGAAAGAATCAGTCAGCCTGAAATCAGTCCAGACATGACCAGAGAGAAGAGTTCTCTAAAATCTATCCTACTGGTGGGAGTTTTGCATTCCTCCTTATCTTTGTGCCTTGGAATGGCAGCTGTCATAATGTGGTCTGTATGGAAGCCAGGTGCTTTGTGTTCCAGGCCCAGTAATTTGCCATGTAAGGATCAATCACACATCTTGATTTTCAGTTTACTCATTTTGGAAAAGTTTATAGTAGTATTTACATCACCAGTTCATTGTGGGAATTCATAATGAATGACTATGGGATAATGCAGGAAAGTTCTATTTCTATGATAATTATGCTCACATTTACATATTTTCCGAGCATATTGAAAGTCCAAAATAAATCAGAGCTCATGTTTACTAAAATGTTCCAGTGGAACTTGGTACGTGTGACTCTACACTCATTCTCTTTTCTAAAAGCCTTAAGCACAAAAGAAAAGGAAAATAGAAGGAGACTGTCTTTCTATTAGTAATAAAAATATGTCATTTGCAAAATCTCTTAAGTGCATAGTAGTTTCTTCAACCACAGGGTGGACTATTTATAAAAATGTCAGTATATTTCTCAGATTTATACTAATAGCATACAGTGATTCTAAATTATAATTTATACATTATATTTCACTTGTAGAGAAATTGAATCCATAAAGATTATGGGAAAAAAGTCTAAGAGTTGTTGACTATTATTTTTATTAATTTATTAATCTCCTTATTTATTCATACTTTTATTAATTCAATTAACATTAAGTTTAGATACTGATCAAAGTGATGAGGATAGTGTCTCATGTTTTAAAAATTTAATTCCTTCCTTATTAATGCTTACAACCTTTACTTCAGTAAATAATCTGGAAAGGTCTATAATAGGCTATTCTGATATTTCTGTTTCTATGTAAGATTCTGTGTAGCTGTGAAGAGATTTGTTCTCTATCAGAGCTCTTTATGAAAAAGGAAAGCATTGAAGCTCTAATGTATACTAGGTAGAAATATGCTCAAATGAAAAAAATAATCAATAGGCTGTTGATACAAAATTATGGTGCTTGCTAGAAACTTTACTGCGAACAGAAGAATCTTCTATGATTACAACAAGAGCCGTATGACAATAATACTATCTCTTCTCAAATATTTAAAGAGCAGGAGGCACGAATATTTCTTAGACTAATCCTTTGGGGTATGTCTTTCTAGGGAGGACTCTGTCATTGATAACTGGCTTAAAGAAAAATAAAATAAAGTATTTATTCCATATCTGAAAAATCTCAGGGCTTCATACATGGTCTGACTCAGGACTCAAGGGGCAATCAAAACATATGATGCATGTTTATTATTTTATTTTTCACTGTCTGGCACAAAGAAAGTGTTCAAGAACAACAACAAAAAATAACTGAATAAATGAATGAATACATTCTATAGCTTGTTCTTTGGGGAAATCACACGGGCAGCATTGTGGAAAAATTTTTTTAAAAATTTAATTTATTGGTACATTCTAGGTAGACAGTACAGCTACATTCATTACTGGGATCAATGCAAGTTTAAATTTAAAAAGTGTATCACAGTAAAAGACGTGTTGCCGTTGACCCCCCACCCCCACAGACTCCCCCTCACTTCAAACCTCCTATGCCATCATTCGTGCCACTTTTTGTACCAGTTCTGGAAACTTCTTTTGCAATGTCTTTGTGAGGTGCGATTAGAAAACACGGTGAGGACTGCCGCCGAGAGCCAAGCAATAGAAAGGCAGGCTCATAACTACGTTGTAGTGTGTCCTCATCTACTTATTCATCAGATTTGGCTCCAGCTGACTTCAGGCTCTTCTCCCATCAAAACTGCCATGAACGGAAAACGTCTTTAATCAATTCAAGACGTCAGTTCAGTTATGACCACTCAACGAAAGACACTCATGAAAAAGGACTTCCACAACTGCTTCAGAAAGTGGCAGGAAAAATGGGAAAAGCGTTTAAAGTGAGGGGGATTAATAGCAGCGTGTTTTTTACTGTCATACATTTTTAAAATTTAAATATTCATTGTATTTTTTACCACAATGTCAAAAAGATTAAGTCTATTGGCTTTTTTGGCCCTACTTTTATTGTATGAATTTCATTTTGAGCAGGATCTTCCTTCATGGTAATAAAATAGCTGTATATAGTTTGATTCCTTTTTTCCCAGCAGTTTAAATACAAAGAATGCCTGTTTTTCTAATGGTTCCAATCAAAATATTAACATGTGAGTTTTGTTAACTTTGATAGGTTTGCTTTGAGTCACTTACCCACCCTGGTCAGATACTAGAATGAGAGGGCTTGAATACAGAAATATATTACATGACTTTTAGCGATGTCTAGTATCTGGGTATGCATTGTCCTCTGCTTCACAGCTGAAGATTTCATGTTTGGCTTCTTCCTCACTCTTATGCACATTTTCCCTATTTTACATATTTGGGCATATTAGTCTCTTTATAAGATGAGACTGCTCTACAACCAGGGATCTTCAGGACTATGAAATCCTTGAGTGCAGAAATGCTTCCTTTTATAGCAGAAATAATGCTCTGTGATATTTGGGCATATGGCCTGCGTTGGTGTAAAATCATGTATTTTTTCATCATTGGAATCCATTGATATTGATATAAAATTAACTTTTATAGGGCAGGATATATTTTTTGTGTCCTCTTCACAAGGAATTTTAATAGTGGGTGTCTCCTCATGAAGCTGTATAAACTATGATGGAAATCAGTTTATGTTGGAATATTAAACTTTGCACCCAGTTGGATGCTTGTACTTAACCCAAAGGATATGTGAGTGTTCATAGATGGTTAACAGCTGCCAATGAACTCAGAAGGAATTTGGTGCATAAAGGGCTCATAACAATCAGAACTGGATGAAATCCTTAGATCTAACTTTCCATGAGGAGACAGTATCACTATATTCCATTTAAGGATATAAATATATATCCTTATATATGTGTATATATATTGAATAATGTATATATATATATATATACATATATATATATATATACACATAATTATTCAATGATGTTTCATTATGCTTCTGACCACCCTTCAGCAATTTATATCTTTATGAGTTTTTGTATTCCTAATTACTAAAACCTTGTCACAATATTAGTTAAGATTTTTTTGCCGGGCATGGTGGCATATGCCTATAATCCCAGCACTTGGGAGGCTGAGGCAGGAGGATCGCTGTGAGTTTGAGACCAGCCTGGACATCATATGCCTATAATCCCAGCACTTGGGAGGCTGAGGCAGGAGGATCGCTGTGAGTTTGAGACCAGCCTGGACTACATAGTGAGTTCCAGGTCAGTGTCAATTACATAGGGAGACCCTGTCTCAAAAAAAGAGAACCCCCCCAAAAGATTTTTTTAAGAAAGCCATAATTTAATTTTAACTTACAAGCTCTTATTGGGGATGACAGATACTGAGCTAGATTCCTAGTATGCTAGCAAACCATTAACAGAAGAAAATATGAGGATGATTAAGCAGAACATGTTAGACACACAAATACCCACGATTTTAACACAAATAATTATAATACAACATAAATGTTTAAACTTTACATTAAAATATTAACTTCTTATAGTGGCATTGAATTCTGTACTCTAAAATAAAAGATAAAGTATCAGAAGCATTTATACTATCAGAAATTGTAGAACCATTAAGGAATCTAATAAGTCCTGGATTCAGGAAGTAGGAACCTCAGAAAGTTTATTTTTTTATTAATCAGAAGTTCCATTCTTAGCAAGTGGGAAAAGTGGGCAAGCATCTTTTTTTCTCCCTTGATTCTCGCATAGATTTGGTTCTTAGTTTACTCTCTCCCATGTGAAAAATGATCCTTAGCTAACATTAATAAAATCTGCTTTGGGGAAATATGCAATTTCAATATATAAACTTCCTGAAAGAAATAAGTCCATAACAAATACAAATCCCAGAAGATTGGTTGGAACTTTCATGACCAAGAGCCTGATTAAAAAAAAACAAAAACAAAAACAGAAGAATAACACCTTCACTAGGAAACACTGAGTTTCAGAGTCTATATCTATGAGTATGTATCTTGTACTGGATTATTTTACAAGAACAACTTTATGATCAGGTTTCTTTTATTGATGCCTACTGTAATGCTCTCCATTTTTGTTCTTCAACTGAGTGCAATATAGGAAGTGGCTGCTTAATGCTCATTGGTATAAGGAATAAACATTGGATTTTCTTTTCTTTTTTGTAGTTTCCATATTTTTGTTTTTCTTTATTTTTTTTTTATTGAGTTTATTGGTACATTTAGGGATACAGTACAGTTACATTTATTGTTGGGATCATGTACCTTTACATGGCAAGTCTTGATTCTCATTTTTTTCCCCTTACCTCTGCCCTCCCTTCAACCCCTCCTCCCCTCCCCATCTACAAACACTTTATTTTCATCTTTTCATTCTCTCACATTTTTTTCTTTTCCCTTTTTGTTCTTCCCCTACGTATCACACCTTCCCTACATCTTTAGCTCCTTTCCTCCCATTTCTAAATGTCAGTAATCTTATTAGAATCTTATGCATTGTTGCAGAATATTCACACCAGGGAAACTATTCGGTATTTACACATGTGGGACTTATTTATTTCACTTAGGAGTATATCTTCAATATGTATCCATTTTCCTATGAATGAATCTATTCTCTCGCTCTTTATGGCTGAGTATGTTTTTCTTTATTTTTATACAATTTGTGTTTTCTTTAAAATTGTAACACTGGAGATATTTAGACCATACTGGACCACACTGCATTCCAACAAATAATGTAATAATAATGTCTGATGAATTACACATTTTATTATCATTTTATCTACAATATAGTTTTCATGGTCACCATTTTAAATGTGTCAGGTATTATACTAGCTACTTTAACCTTCATAACAAATCCTAGAGCAGTGATGGCAAACCTTTTAGAGCTTTCAATGATACTAACAGTTCGCTGCAGCACTCGTGCCGTAGTTTTGTCCCCACTGCCCCAGAGGCAAATATTTCTCTCATCATTCTACAGATTAGAATTGTAAATCATACTGCTAAGTGAAAGAAGCCTATCAAAAAGGTTACATAAACTCAATCCTGGCTGTCCTGCATAGGGTATAACATTTGTGATGTGCAGTACTAAATCATTTCATCTATATCATATTATAGAAAGACAAAACTGTAAAGATAGCAAATGAATAACGACATTCATCATTGGAAATTTACACCTTTACATAATCCATCTTGGATCTTATTTTGGTAGGGCTACTGCCTACTCTCCAATAACAAATATATTTTCCTATGCTTTGTGTTGTAGTTTTACATTTAAGTATACCCCCATTTTATTTTTTGTAGAAGGTGCTATGTATTGGTCAAGATTCACTCTTTTACCAAAAGATGTTCAATAATTAATTCCAGGATTTTTGGGAAAAATTATCCATTCTTTATTGAACTGTCTTTACACTTTTGTGATAAACTAATAAGTTGACCACATTTGTTAGTCTTATTTCTGGATTTTCTATTCTTATATTTTATATTTGTCCTTTTGTCAACAATGCACTTTCTGAAGTATTGTAACTTTATAGTAAGTGTTAAATCAGGTAGTGTGAATTCTCCAACTTGTTTTTCTTCTTCAGAATGATTTGGATATTCTAGTTCCATTGTCCTTTTATGTAATTTTTTAGAATCAGCATAACAATGACTATAAAACATGCTGAAATTTTGATTCAGGTTATTATGAATTAATAGATAAATTTATAAATAGAAGTGGTGAAATGGACATCCTTATCTGGTTCTCTATTTTAGAGGAAATGTATTCATCTAGTCTTTCAGCATGATGTATTACAATATTAGCTACAGTTTGTTTTTTTTTTTTTGCAGGTATCCTTATAGGTTGAAAAAGGAAACTCTCAGCCAGGCGTGGTGGTGCACGCCTGTAATCCCAGCACTGGGAGGCTGAGGCGGGGGATTGCTGTGAGTTTGAGACCAGCCTGAGCTACACAGTGAATTCCAGAGCAGTCTGAACTACATAGTGAGACCCTGTCTCAAAAACCAAAAAATAAAAAGAAAACTCTCTTTTCTTCCTACTCAGGAGATACTTCTTTTTGAGTAATTAATGGTTGTTGAATTTTGTCTAAGTCTTTCTAATTCTTTATCAATTGAGATAATCTGTGACTTTTTTTTTTTTTTTTGTACTGAGGATTGAATTTAGGAGCTTACACTTGCCAGGCAGGCAGGGCACCACTGAGCTACGTCCCTGGCCCCAGCTATGACTTTTCTTAATACAGTGAATTACATTTTGAATATTGAACTCACTTTGCATTCCTTTGATGAGTCCCTCTTTGCTCCTGGTGAATTAATTATACTTTTATATGGTGGTAGCCTCAGTTTGCTAATATTTTGTTGTGGATTTCTGCACTCATAGTCACAAGGATATTGGACTGCTATTTTCTCATAATGTCTTTTTTCTGCTTTGTTATTAGATGCTGACCTCATAAAATAAGTGGGGAAATATTTTCTCTTGTGTTTTCTGGAAGAGATAGTATAGAATTAATGCTATTTCTTTTTTAAATTTTGGTAGAAATCCCCCAAAATACAATCTCTATCTGTATTTTTCTTCATAGAAATTTTCAGTTTCTCAGCACATATAGAAATATTCAGGTTAAGAGGCTGGGGATTTAGCTCAGTGTTTCTGCCCTTGCAAGCACAAGGAACTGAGTTGAATCCCTGGTACCAAAAAAAAAAAAAAAAAAAAAAAAAAAAAAAAAAAAAAAAATCAGGTTAATCAGGTTATCTATTTGTTTTTGAGTTTTGTTAATTCTGTGCATCAAGGCCGTTTGATCTAGATTATTGGATTTATGGACATAGCGTGTTTGTAGTTCTTCCTCATTATTCACTTAATATGCATAGGGCCTGTCATTCTTCATATTGATAATTTATGTCTTCTCTGTCCCTTTTTTTCGTGGTTTTCTCTGAAGTTTTGCTGCCTGTCCATCACTCAGTTTTGTTGCTTTGGGATCAAAGTTGGATGATAGAGGAAGAAACAAAACTGAACAACTCTCCCCTATTATAACACTTCTAGCTTTGGCTCCTGCATTTTGGATCCTATTGTTTTTTCATAGTTTCCATTTTTTAATTATGTCAAGAGTTTTTAGTTGCAAGAAGAGGACTTACTCCAGTTTTGGTTGGTAGTCTCACTTTGATTTTTTTTTTCTAAATGTAATCCTGCATCTTTCAGACACTTCCATATCATATAATTTTGTTTATTCACTTTAAAGTAGCAAAGTACTCCATTTTATGGGTATGTCACAATTTATTTAATATGTTGTTTAATTTTTTGCTATCAACAAAGCTGAGATAACCTATTTACACATACAGCTTTGCATATTTTTGTGAACATGTCTGAAGGGTAAGTTTCTAGGTGCAGAACAATGGTACAAAGAATATGTACACACACAAATATTGTCTAAAAATTTTACACCTCCATGAATAATGCCTGAGAATGCTCATTTCTCCACAACCATGTTTGACTAGAGGCTTAAAAATGTCTACAGTTGGATAAATGAAAAAATCTTGTTTAAATTTACACTTCTTTTTATAATGGTTGAGGCTGAACATCCTTTCGTAATTTATTCATTGTTGTGTTTCTTGTCTGATGACTTTTTGGTGTTTATGTTAGATGAGAAAGGTTAATCCCTATTCCCACTCCTCCACTCTCTACCTCTCAATCTAACTTTTAAATAAATTCACCCAGATCTCCCACTGGTTTCTTTATAATTTTATTCAGGTTTTATCACTGGTAGACTATGCAAAATTCAGACATTGTGAACTAAAAAGAAATTATAAGCATAATTGTTGGTTCCTGTATCTATAATAGATTTTTTCGTACATATATTATAGATCTGAGTAAAATTTTCAGGATAGAAGAAGCTTGATTATTTGACTCTTAGATTTGAGTGTTGCATTTTGTTAAACTTTAGTGGTTAGCCTCTGAAGGCTAACAAAGCAAAGTAGAAAGAAAAACATACAACACATTAACTTTTTTGGTGTACCTGATGCTCGTGGTTGTAGGTTAGAAGAAGGAGTACAGGTTAGGTGTTTTCCCAAGGTTGGCTACTTTGTGTCATTTGCTGACCCAAGAAGATTTTAGCAGCTGCTTAATGGCTACAGTGAATGTTGATTATACAAGCTATTGGCTCAAAGATAAACACTTATACAAACTATTGACCAGTCAGCTTGAATGGTGAATCAAGGAAGAAAGTAAGAAATGAGTGTTCATTTTGAAATACTGGCTTATGAAATACAGATAGAAAAAATGTGTTCCTTTTGTGCAAATGCCTGTCACACTGACATCTATGTAAATAATGTGTCCTTTGCTCTGGTCAATAGATAACAGGCTTTCTAAGGCATATTTTTGGGGGTACTGGGGGATCAAACTCAGGACCTTGCACATGTGAGGCAGGCACAGTGCTACTGCACTAAATCCCTGACCTAACAGCTAGATTTTTATATATGCACTATTTTAAAATTTAAATATAATAAAATTCATGTTTTAATGCACAGTTCCGAGTTTCAAAAAACATGTATTTTATGAACTACTGCTACCACCATCACCACCACCACCACCACCAAGATATGATCCTATATCACTCCTCAAATTTCCCTTTCACTGTCCCATTGAAGTTAGTCCCTTTCCCATCTTCTAGGCCCCAAATCCTTTCATCCATTAACTGTTCCTACAGGTGTGTCCCTTCCTAAAATATATAAAACATCTCCAAATGGAAATATCAACATGGAAGCATATTTTAGTTACCATTTCTCAGGAAAACTATGTTTTAAAATTATAGTCTGCCTGGTAGAGGCATATAAAGATTCTTTTTGAAATCTCATGGATGGTTTCATCTCTGCTCACTCAATCTACTAGTAGAGATTTTCTCAAAGGTCAGAAATCTTAAATCTTTGTTCAAAGCACTGTTATTTGTTGTTTCATATAAAAATAAGAACAATTAAAAATAGCAAAAGAGGTGGGGTGGACCAAAGCAGCCTGGCTACAAGCAGATACAACCAGAGCCCCACCCAAACCCCAGTGGTGGGCACTCAGGGCCAAGCCAAAGCCCCACCTGGAAAAGAGCTGCACTGGCCCACAAGCAACAGGCAGAGGTCTACCCAATACCATCGATAAGTGCACACATATCCAGAGAGCAACAGTGTGGACTAGAGAGGAATGGCTGCAGACAGGTGTAGCTAGGGCCTCACCCTGACTCCAGCCACTTGGGTGCACAGGCCCAAGCCAACACCCTGCCTGGAAAAGAGCTGCACAGGCACACAAACATCAGCTGGAGGCCTTCCCCAATACCATTGATAAGTGCATGGAGACCCTAGAAGCCTGCTCAGGCATCAGGGATTGGGGTGCACAGACCTCATCCAAAGGCCCTCCCAGACAACAGCTACATAGGGGGAAAGGACCTAGCCTGAGAGAGGTACGCCTAGACATCACCTCAAATGTGCACAGGCCCCAGACAGAAGCCCACCCAGACAACAGGTCCACTCAGGGATCCGAAGGGCACCATTATGAACCCAGGATTTGGTGAACTGGTAAGCAGCAGAGAAAAAAGGCTGCTCAGTGGCTTGCTGAGAATTGAAGATCAATGGGTGAGCAAAAATTTGCCTCAACAAAGGCACAGCAGGCTGCATCTGTTGAAATGAGAACACACACACAAATAACTTGCAAAACCAGATTCCAGATCACCTAAGACAATCCCAAACAGAAATGAGATGGAATAATCTGATACTCAACCACCTGGACTCCCTGAACTGGCAACAAAAGAGGATCTGGAAAAAATGAAATCAGAATTTCTCAGATAGCAGTGAGACTGTGCCAGTAGTGCAAGACGTGATTAATAAATCTAGAGCAGACACAGATAAAGAAAAAATAGAGCAGCTGAGGAACAAGATGGAATCCCAACATAGGAAACAAATGAAATCTATAAAACAGATGCAAACAGATTTCCAGGAGATTAAAAACTCCATTGAAAGTTTATGCAGCAGAATGAGCCAATGAGAGAACAGAATTTCAGATACAGAAGATAGGATTGCAATTAGTGACCAGAAAAAGAAAAATTTCTTAAAAATAGTAAGGGGCCACAAGGAATCAATTGAGCAGCTGCTAGATGATGCAAGGAAGCATAGCATAAAACTGATTGGAGTCAATGAAGAAACAGGAGAGAGTGCAGGTGGCATTAAAAAAAAAAAACTGTTCACAGAAGTAATGGCAGAAAACTTCCAAGTAGGGGAAAAGAACTTGACATTTAGATAAGTGAGGCACATAGGATGCCATGATAAACAACTAACCATGATAAAATAATTTACACATAGGCATATAATAGTTAAAATTCTAGAAACCCAAAAGAAGAACAAAATTCCACAAGCAGTGAGAGAAAAGAAACAAGTCACATACCAAGGAAAGCCCATCAGAACCACAGCAGATAAACCCTCAAGGCAAGAAGAGCTTGCAGTGATATTTCAAGCTTTAAAGGAAAACAGCCTCCAATCCTGCAAAACGATTTTTCAAAATTGATGGAGAAATAAGATACTTTCATGACAAAGAGCACCTTAGGAACTTCATGAATACCAAAACAGCACTCCAAAAAAATTTAAACAATAACCTAGAAAAAGTCAACAAGGATCACAACCTCAGGAAGTACAGCAGAATAAATCCATCAGGCACAACAAGAAATTAAATGCAAAGGGGGAGAATCCAACAAAAAGAAAAAGTCATGACAAGGATAAGTCAATACATATCAGTTAGAACCATCAATGTTAATAGTCTCAATTCACCAATCAAAAGAAATAGATTGTCAGAATGGGTAAAGAAGCAAGATCCAAATAATATGCTGCACAGAAGAAACACACTTAATTCAAGAAGAAACTCATAGATTGAAAATTAAAGGGTAT